ATTTTTTACTTTCAGAGTCCGTCGAGCAGACCCAAATCAAGGAGTTCTCCCACCGCGTCTGCTTCTCCCTTGAGCCAGTCGCCGAGTGTCGCCGTGGATACAAGACCGACGAGACCTTGACCAAGAAGATCCGCTTCACCTGCATGCCACGTCACAGCAACAACGCTCGTCGCTTCTTGAAGGAGGCTCGTGAGCAAACCGTTCTCGACTTGTCCGACTTTGAAGTCTCCTACGTCGAGGCAGTCAAGATCCCAACTGCCTGCGTCGCTTTCTAAATTCACACATGTCATGTCTTAGTCGTTTTCCAATATAGAAATGAATGTTCTCATTAGAATTATTGTTTTCATCGCAATTTTTGTAAGAATTGAACTGGAATACTGGAAACCAGTCTGTTCGAAATGTTATCATTCATTCCGAACCGAAGAAGCTCCACTATACGTGCTCCCACGCAAAACCTTTTGCAATCATTTCGATGAAATCACCAAAGCGATAAACTTCACAAAATAGCATCATTCAATGTCTGCTAACTTTTTGACTTGAAAAAAGTTTGTGACCGAAAGTGGGGTTTCCTCTAGTTTATGAGTAATTTTGCAATTTTGTTGCTTCTATTTGAAGATTGAAGATTGTACATTAAAAAATCAACAAAAAAACTTCTTATCAAGTTTTGAATGCAGGACCCGTGGAGTTTGATGCTTTCTTCCTTCTCATGGAAGCAAGCGCTTATTTAAAAAAAAATAGCTAACAATAAGTATGAGTCAACAAGTAGTATGTCTACTGTAATAATTCATTTGACAAATTTGGCGAGAGAGAATATATGAGTGGGTTTGCAGAAATACAACGAAATTCAAGAACTCTTGGAGAGAGGGGGTCCGTCTTTTAGCGGAGATCGTGATGGGTTGGGGAAAAGAGAAACATGTGGTGTGGGGAAGAACGAACGAGATTCTAAAAACAATTTGTTTTTGGATTTGAGGATTTTTAAGAAGACAGTTTACAAGAAAGTGAGAGTAATGTGATGAAGATGAATTTGAATTGAAGGGGTTAGAGAAATGGTGTTTTCACAAAGTGGGACACGAAATACTACAAAATACATCAATATATGAAGGCATGGCTTTCAAAACCATGCGAATCTTTAGTTGAAGGCAGAAAAGAACATTTTTTGACATGGGGCTAAAACATACGAATAGAATTCAAGGGGCGAGAGTGACAACTACGTGTGGAGAGAACGGGATACGGATTTGCACTCAGGCAATATTGTGCAATAGTCATGATTTTAGAAAACAGTTTTGGTTAATAGATGGAGCAGCCTAGTTACGGGCGCTGGAAGTGGATGGTCCGTTGTCTCCAGTGTCGTAGCTTTCGAGCAGATCCAAGAAGAGCCGGTCGCGAAGGAAGCTGAAAATTTGGAATTTTATATCAAGACTGATCAAAATAGTTACTAACCGTCTGTACGAGTCCTTGGACATGAGTTGCTCGACACGATTCTGAGCCAATGCGAAGGTATCCGGTTTGCATCCCGCCTCAACGGCAGCTCTGGTGGCGGCACGGGTGTCACTGTCGAGGTTGACCTGGAAATGTTTGAAAATTAGGATCCACGAAATCTCAAAATATCGATTTACCTCTTTTGGAGCATGCTCGGCAACAAACTCGCTGTAGATTTCGATGGCTTTCTGTGTGGTGGACTTCTTGCCGTCCTTCATTTTTTTGAACTCCTCACACTCAAGCCAGAAGTCCATGTTCTCATCGGAAAACTCCTTTTTCAAGAACTGACGGAAGAGCGCACAGCCAACTGCAAAAAATCATCATTATGTGAAATAATTGATAGAAAGAAGAATGTTGTCAACTTACATTTGTTGTTGAGCAAAGAATCGAAAGACTTCTCCCACTGGCGAACGTCTTCACGAGATGGATAGAGAGACGATGTGGAGAGAGCCAAGTCCATTTTAGAGCGAAGATAGGAGAGAGTACGAGAGATTGGTCCACTGAAAAATATAGAATTATCGAAATGTTCTTCAAAAATTAGAACCCCCGCTGAACCTGTGGATTTGAATATGAAGATTTGGTGTGCTTTGATGATGCTCGGAATGATGGAATTTAGTTAGCATCTGACTATTGGTCTTTGCAATTATTGGGTAGGTCACCGACAGCATTTTTAGAATAATTGAAACTACAGGAATTTTTTCTGCGCTCGCGCTTCGCTGCTTATCAAAACTCGAAGCGCAATGATTTTATCAGCAAAAATGATTGTCAATGTTTTCGCGTGTGTTGATCGAAACCGACAAGGGCGGTGCTGAACTAGACGTCGCTTAAAACCAATGATGTCAAATGGTGTCACAGTGAAGCGACGGCTTGGTGGTGGACGGTTCGGAGTGGGGCGATTCAGAAGGAATAGATCGTCAAATGACACGTCGGTAATACCAGGGGAAGGTGTAGGTGTCGACTGATCTGATGGTGAGCGATGCATTGGAAAGCGGGAAGTGGGAGAGATGAAGAAATGACTGGTGGTCGTCGAAGAGGATGGACCCACTAATTTGGTTGAATAAGGGGGAGTAAAAAGGGAAAAGAACAGTCCGAACAACGAGCGTACTCTTGTCGTCGTCTTACTCTAGCCAATATGTCTCCCGATGATGATATTCACGTCGTCTCGTTTTACGACCCGTCATAATTAGGCTATTCCGAGAGAAGTGGGGGTGAATTGTTCTTTGGGAAGAATTTTTTGAATCTTTCTCTTAACCAGATAAGATAGAATCTAATATCCTTCTTCATATGCACTTTTCCCGACAGTGACACATTATAATCTTGTTAAAATCTTTTTCCATTATATAGGGCTTCTTTGAAACTTTGAATTCACATTGTGCATTTCACATGCACCTCCAGTGTCAACTCAGGAAGCAATATTATGTTATGCACATGTGTGTCTCAAAGAAAGTTGATATTCTCTCAAAGAATAACTTATGACCACTACCAACTTTTCTTGCCTCCCTCCCTCGCAGCGTTGGGTTACCAATTATCGTCGAACCCCAGCCTATCTACGTAGCACACACGGAAAAAACAGTCGACATGTGAGGGCGGTAAGAAAACAAGTAACACTTCGCACATTTGCATAATTCAGATTTTGACTTTGCAAATTGAGTTTTCGGACCCACCGAGTGGAAAGTTTCAGAACAAACAACAAACTCTCTTTTCAGGAAGTGTTTTTGTTAAAAAAAGAAAGACTAGATTTGAATATTTGAACGATTGGTTGTTGGTGTGTGAGCTTTAAAAAAAAAGAAAAACAGAAATATCGAAACCGTTAAAGTCCAGTTAGAGTTACAATTGAAGCTCACCTTGAACGAGACCGCACATGATGACTTGGTCTTGGTAGTGCCGTTCTACTAGTTGGAAAATCGTAAGAAGACACACGAGCACAAGATAACATAGTGATAGGAATATTAAGACCGGGTGAATTAAAAACTCTAGATGTAGAAAAGTAGAAGGTAACTGAGAAAGAGGCTTTGGTTACTATGACTTCTCAGCGTTTTGCAATAATTTGATTTACTTATAAACCTACATGCATGCTCCGCGACCCGATAATCTAATCAAAAAAGAAAACTCGCCTGTGAGACGAAACAATCGGTGTGAAAGACGGCGGCGAGATGCCCAACGATTCCATCTCTCGCACTGAAGCCCATTTATGAATAAACCGCTTTGACACGCTGACTGGGGGAACCGGCGTACTAATTTTCCGACGAATATCCATTTTTCTTCGTGATGAGGAAAGCAGGAAGAAAAAGTGCTGAGACAGTTGTTAGCGTCCAAGAGACCACTAATTGATGACAGATTGTTTTGGCTGAATAATTAGGCAGCCGTAGAGCAAATGGCTGGAAGAAGAAAAGCCGCTGGAAGAAGCACGTAGGGCTTCTGGTGCCACGAATGAGACTTGCAAAGTGGGGAGGAGCGCGAAAAACTTCTTGTTTCTTCTGAAGAGGGAGAGAGGATGTCCTTTCTCTTCACTTGCCTCTGACTGCTCCCTCAGAGCAGCAAACAAGGAGATGAAGAAGCACAATGGAAACAAATGTAGCCTGAATGGGGGCGAGTGGATACGTGAAGCGTTAAGAGTTGTGGATAACAGGGGGGTTAGGTGTACTAACTGGAAGGAGCAAAAAAAAAGAGCCCTACAATAGACACATCTTGATTCGGTACACTTGTTCGCAGATGAGTGTGTGCAGGCGGGAATGGAAGTCAAATGAGACGGAATGAAATGGCAAAGACTTTAGTGCTTCGAAAGAGAAAAAAGGTCAGGAAAGAATCAAATACTTTTTTACTTTTTCGAAGAAACCAGTAATTTTATAGAGCATCGCACGAGATTCACCACTCTAACTGATTAAGATAGTGGATAACTTTGTCAGTTTATAGTCCACTCCTCAAGATTAGAAGCAACAGTAGTCTGGTTAAGCCAGAGTGACTTTTTAGTCGGTTCGTTTCGAAAATTCTGAATTTTGGTTATAGCTACCGTACTCCTTGCAATGCTCATCAAAACCTGATGTTCTCTAAACCCTCATCCCAAACGATCAAACTTCACTAATTTCCACATGGACCACTTGTCTCATACAATTGTACATTTAGTTGGTCTACCCTAACGTTTTTTGTTGCAACCAAAATAGAATCGAGACAATGAAGAAGCAGTATGGGTGGGGTAGAAATCATCTATAAAACATTCTACCTGGATGGAATTGGAGAGGGTTCAAGAAACTGGAAGCTTATCACTGAAAATCCGCGTATCTAGAATCTCTAAGTATGTGTTTGCTGTATAATACCAAAAAATGATCCCAATAATTTCTCCAGTATAATAACAAAAAATGATCCCAATAATTTCAAATAACACCTCCACAGAACCTTAATTTGCACTTAAATTGTCATTCAGCTTTTTTTCCTGGTCTATGCCGTTCGCGTAATGTCGGCCTCACGACCAAATGGATGAAAATGCAAATAGCGGCCTAATTGACTTTTTGATCAGCCCGCTAGATGAGCAAAAAAACTTACAGAAAACGTTTTTTTTCCTCACGAAGGCTGCTTTTTGACGACGATGATTGCTTTGGTGAGAAAGTGAACGAAGCGGCACGGCGAACGTTGGTCTGAAGTGATAGGAAGCTTACATTAGTATATTACTATTTTCCCAAAATAAATGCATGCTGAGAGCGGATCTTACTGAATTTTTATCAAAGGCGCAAGAGCTAACTAACGTATTTTTGGGCCTGTTTTCTCATTTTAGGACGATATTCATCGCTTTTTTAATAATCTCCATTTTTTGAATTTATTTTTTTCCGATTTTACATTGAACAAACGGTGAAAATTGTCAAAATTGAGAAAATGGGAAGATATTGATAGAAAAAATCAAAAGAGATACGGTAGTTCGCTCTTAAGCCTTCAGGTAAAATTTACCCTCACAACATGCACTAATTTCAGACAAGAATAATAACCGAAAATCTCTCATGAATAGACTACAGTAATCCAAAAAACTCACTTTTTTGATAGCACTGTGTGTTGGACCGGCTCCATAGACTCCTCCATTGTCATCTGGACACAAAAAGTTGTGATCATTTGGAGATCTGTCTGGGCTGAGACTTTTTGCATCGTCCGAGTTGTTCTCGCCTGTAATAGAAAAATAAAAGTTAAAGGTTGAAAAAGTTAGAACCCCCGTTTTAGATCTTTCTTTTCATTCCAACCCCCAAGACTGTGAAATTTGTGGCAACCGCAATTCAAGCCGTGGGTAGGCCATGGGGCAGTCAGTTCGTCCATTCAAAAGCCAGTTCGTCCATTCTAAAGACGATCAGTGACCCAGAAGCCACTAGCAAAACTAGCACGCCGTATCTTACTTATTTCAGAAGTACCCTAATCAAAATGCTGCGCCCAGCCGTATCACAGCCTTCCCCCCTCAAAAATCAGCATTAATTTCTATTTTTAGAATACTACGACATTAAAGTGATAACAGGAGAAAGAATACACCACTACCAACGTCTGCATTCATCCCGCTCCTCGACACAAGTCAAAGATCGGCCTCGCACTTTTGCGCTTGTTGAGTTCCATGTCCGACGAATAAAGCTGCCACGTCGCTGAGGTTTGTCGTCGGTTTTCGACTGTTCTTCAAGCGTATCGACATCTTCTTCGTCACTCATTGTGTGTGAGTGTGTGTATTATCAGAATGACGAAAACTGTGTGACAAAACAGTTTTTTGAAATTGTGAAAAAAGAAAAAATGGCGAAGAAAGAGAAATGATTTTTTTTGTTGTTCAAAAGTGCCAAAATGCTAGACCTTTGAATTTCAAAGCTATTCAAAAAAGTGGCAATATCGAAAAAGAGACATCGATGACAATGCATAATCAAAAAAAATTGAAACGTGTCGTTCGGTATAGCTAGCCTCTCTCCCTCTCTCTTGAAATTGAAAAAAGAGATGCAAATAAATTTGAAAACAATAAAATACGGCCTCATAAACAGACCAAAACCATCATCACCACCTTTCTCTCAAACTGTTTCCTATACACTTATCTAAGGCTCTCTCTGATAAGAATCTAAGTTAATCTTTTAAGAGGTGTGTAATCGTGGTGGAGAGAATTGAACCAAGAAAAAAAAAGAATCGAAGAGTTATCATAGATGTGTTGTTTCGATAATCGCCAATTTTTTTGACCCACGATAAAAGCGACATTGTTAAATGTTAACAAGTACAACTAAACTGTCGGTTCTCACCTATGTGTGTGTATGTCGAAAAGCACTAATCAAACCTCGCAAGTAAACTTATGAACACATGACAAACACTAATTTTGAGAGCTTACTTTGTCGACGTAGACACGCTGGTAGCCATGTTGCGATACGAGATCGTAGGCTAAACCCTTTGAAACAGTATAGCATTTTTTCGCTGCTTTTATTTTTGTCGAAATATGTCACCAGGCTTTGGGTTCGTTGAGAAACGAATGGCGCTCTCGATGAGGAATAAAAAAAAGGGTTTGTGGGTGTGGAATGGAAAGGCAATCACATAAAATGTGGATATCATAATTTTCTCTCTGGTAATCGGGGGGCCACGCATGTGATGACGTGGACTCCCATTCACACACGAGTATTGGGTGAATTGGCTGTTTCCGCAGATTTTTAGCTGAGTTCCTACTCACTTCTGATCCTAACTGTGACTAGGGGCCTAACTCCAATTTTCAGAGAGAAAAATTAGAAAATTCGAAAAATTCTGTAGATTTCCAATCTCGCAGGGATGTTCGGAATGTCTTATTCGGAGTGTCGAAAACTCCGATTTTCAAAAATTTGATATTTCGGAAACCTTTTTCACATCCCAGAAACGCAAAAATGTGACAAACAGATTTCATAAACGCCAAAAAATAGTGACAGGAGTTTCGTTCGAGACCCGCAAGAAAATGTTTTCTCGCTCTTTTGACAAATTATAGTCCAAAAAATCTCGAATTCCGAAAAAAAAATCCAGTAATTATTTGATCGGGATTTTGATTTCAAAGTGTTGGAACTTCATTTCTAAAATAGTAAAGATTTTCGGTATTTTTGAAATTAAAACCGAACATCCCTGTTAACCCGTTTCAGACTCACTGGCTGTAGTGGTGATACTTGGAAGAGTGGCTCTGTGCAACTTGAGCTTCTCTGGAAGATCTGCCGATCCGTTGGTGCTCGACGAGGCAGAAGTGTAGTCCAGAAGATTGTTCGAAGAGCGCATGTGCAAATCGTTAGACGATGATCGATAGTACTCGCCCATAGTGAGCTCATTGGGCACTGACAAACGTGGTGCAGTGGCGGTCATCTAAAAAATGGAATTAAATAGTTTTGAAACTTTTGGAGGGAGATGGTTGACAGTCTGGATGAATGAAATATTTCTGCGGTGGCACGGAAAGGTCACCGCGGACAAGTAAAAGGATGACTATGCGCGCGGGCACGAAGTTTAAAATATGGTTGTTCTTAGTTTCTTGATCTACACGCTTTTGTTGCCGCTCTTATCATGAATAGAGAAGGAAGAATCGTGGGAAATGCAGGAGAATTGAGCATTGAACAAACTATAAAGGAACTATGAAAAAAATATGTTCTAGAAGGAATGGAAGAAAAATTGAGAAAAAAAATTAGTAATGACTGATCGATGATGATGGTGCTAGAGAAAGAGAGAAAATCTATCGCGTGTTGTATGAAACATAAACAATAATTTGCGTATTAGGTAAACTAAGAAGAGTTAAGAGGGAATTTTGAGAAAAAAATAGAAAAAATTCTTCGAGGAGAAAAAGAACTGTTAGGCAAAAAAGAGAACTTTTTAACCTGGGGGGAAACCCGGCGCACGAGGGGAGGGAGAAGGGAAAAACAAGGCATCGGATAAGTGTTCAACATTGAAATCAGTTCTACGGATGGAAAACAAATATGTACCAGCAGGGTGAAGCGCAGGAGCCGCCACAGAGCCCGATCCCGGTTAATCCCCTCCCTCTCTCTCACTCTCGACAAAGGGGGTTTGCGGTTTCTTCGCATTCTTTTTTGCTTTTTTTCTTTTTACTCTTGTTCATCTTCAGTAATGAAGATGATGAAGATAATGATGGGATGGCTAGGCTAGGTTATGAGTGTTTCTCACCAATGGACGGTCAAAGTTCTTCTCTGGAGAAGATAGAGGGGAAACTAGGATTTTTTGCAAAGTAAAGAAGAAAAAACAGGCCTTGTTTCAATTTTTGAAGTTGTGAAAAATGTATCCTTTTCATTCATACGTATCCTTCGCCAATGACATCCGATAGCCCATGGTTGCGGCCGGCGCCCCAGTCATTTGTCAAAATTCGGGCTCTCTCTCTGAGAGACGTGGGGACAAAAAATCACTACTACACACCTCTTTTTTCTTTCTATCCTCTTTCTAGAGTGATCAAGATCCGTGAATTGACAACTCTCTGTTGGTCACTCAATCTTAGATCTTTTCCTCTTGGTGGAAGAGAGAAATAGAAAAATGAAAATCGTTGAGCTCGAAAATCAGAGTGAGTGAATGGAAACTTGAGTTCAAACTCACAACTTGAAATTTCTAATTTCTCGTTACAACCGAAATTGAGAAGAGAAATGAAACGAGAGAACAAAATTAGCCAAGCCGAATGGCTAGATGGAGTTGCAGGTCATTACGACTTTTATCAAAAATGGCGAGTGCTCTGATAAGCGTGACAACACTAGGCAACACAGTCAGCTCAAAATAGCACAAATTCGGTGAAAAGTTTTTTTTTGCATCATCTAGTGCCAATATTTTGAAAAATTCAAATTTTAAAATCCAAAAAGGATAATTTTCGAACTCTTTAAGGTTTGGATAAGGGTTAATAGTGTTTCCTTCCTTTTTCTTTAATTTTTTGGACCCAGTATCTCTCCCAAGGAGTTTCCCATCCATTTCGAACTTTGACCGTCCCAATTTTCTATTATGATTAGTTGGAAAATTAGTAGGTGAGAAGCACAATAACAATGAAAACTACAAAAATCGAATCTCACCACTCGCAACACACTAAAAATTGCGCGTAGGCTGCAAAAGGTTTGACCGATCAAAAAAACGATGATAATACAGGCAAACGACAAAACTACAACAATATTAGATAAAAATCAAGCAAGCGGCAAGAAGAGAGCATTTCCAGATGTCATCATCATCCCTGTCTAAGCACTTCAACTCCAACCTGTCCATGATTGGAGACTGTTGACGAGCCAGCAGAAGAAGACATGCCAGTGAACGCGGGATCCTCGTAGAATGTTTGACGGCGCACCTGAATCTCAAACTGGGTTCGAAACATGATTAAGAGCGAGTTCCTACCTTTCTCTGTGGAAAGTTTTGCTTCAATCCTTGTTCCTTGTTGAGAAGGAAGAATCCCTCATTGGTGACCTCAACATCTTCGATTGGCTCACGGCGGTGATGGTGTTGGAAAGTGTCGCCAAACATCTGACTAGCCTTCTTGAGAATGCGGCTGACTGGGAATGTCATACATCCGAGGACTTTCTTTCTCCTAAAAAAATAATAATTAATTGAATGTCAGATACTCTGAACGACTCACTCGGCATTCATGACGTCAATTTCGTAGACAGTAACAATGAGTTGATCACGAGCACAATTCTCGGCGAACGAGCTGCAAAAGAATGTGTTCAGTGGGGAAGAGTTTGAAAATGCCAACTATTTTACACAGAAACGCGCCTAGGCAATTCAAGGTTAAAACATTTTAGCACCCCTAAAAATCAGATAAGAGCGATTTCTGCCAGTTCTTGCTAACAGTCTTTCTCTCCAACAAACTTACAATTGGAAACTCTCATCAAACTTTGGATTGTTGTTGTCTTTGATGAGACGAGTACGGTAGTGCTGATCCGGTCGGCTATTGTACTTGCGAGACGAGGATTTGTTGCTCGGACGATGATATAGCACAGCGGTGACATACGATGAGACTCCGTAGCGTGAAGATGAGCTGCAGAAGAATGATGCATCTTGGACATTCAGAATAAGACGTCGTCCACGAAGAGCCATGCTCAAAAAGACGATTCCACGAATATCCTTGTGTTTGGCATAGGCGTTGTCAAGTCCAAAATCCTCCGGACGCTTACATTTTGCTCTCGGCGATTCGACCACTGGACTTGGCATCTTGTTCTCCTGATCTTCTCCCAACCATGGATCCGGAGTGATAGCTCTCTCTGAAGAGTCCTTGCTCGAGCTTCCCTCCATGTGAGAATCCAGAAGAGCCAATGAAGAGCTCTGGTGACGTCCTTGCTTCTGATTCTTGCGATAAAGACGTTCCGAGCGTGGAGTAGAGCTAGCAACTGGAGAAAGTGGTGCCTTGAAGTGGCCGGGCAATGGAGTTCTTGGAGTTACCGCCATGGACTGAAAAAAAACACAAGGTGACCTTCTAGCTAAAATTTGTTGGGTCTTACCTGGAAAGAAGTAGTAGTCGATGTGAGTTGAGGCTTCCACTCGGATTGCTGACGCAACGACATGCGATGTCCACCTTCACTACTGCTAGAGTAATTTGAACGAATCGGAGACATTTCCTGCAACAAAAAGCGATAACCATCATGTGATCAAATTAATTGAATCTTCTCTCTTCGATTTCAAACTTTCTTTTTCCACACGTTTCAAAAGTAAAGTACTATTTTCTTCCTACTTGTAAGTCAATTTTGGTAGAATGTTTTCTCACAATTGATATGCGTTGATATTTGAATAATGATGAGTGGTTTGGCATGTTTGATAAGATATTCTTCCTGTCTTTTTTTTTGAAAACTACTAACGGAAGATACTGTATCGCACACACAGTAGGGCGAGTGGTGAAGTAACTATACTGTACCAGAAGAACACCTTAAAAGGATTAGTGCTGTACTGGACGGCTAACTGCCATCTGCAGTCATACACAGGTGGCAGTTCTCCAACGTTATAAACGTTATATCCTCATAAAAGTCTTCCCATGAGCTCCCACAACCAACCTCAATAGCTGACAAATCACACGATCCATGACCCATACGTGGTCTTCTTGGTGGAACAAACTTCTCGCGGGGCCGGAATTGTGTACCATCTCCACGACGAATCTGCGAGTACATCTCTCTCGAAGAACCCGCTCCTCGATCTCCACTGGATGGTGTAGTCGGCACAAAGCTTTGGAAGACCTGCTTATTGTTCCCGAGCACTTTGGTGGTTTCACGGGCCAACAGTTGACGACGAGCAGCGGCACCGGCGATTCCACATACTGGAGCACGTCTTCTGAAAAATTAGGATTTTTTGCTGTTGATCGGAGTGGGTTAGCTTTGCTCTCTAGAACCGACAACTCACATCAGAGCCTCTAGGCCCATATTCTTAACAGTCACTGTTAGAGTAGTCATGATAGGTTGTAGTCACTGAATAGGGTATAATAAAAATAATTAAGAGGAAAAAGAGCCGATTTGGAAGATCGTAAAAGAATGAATGTTCCCGGAGGAAACGAGTCGAGAGATGGCTCTGGTGGGCGGAGCCATGTGCATGGTTGGAAGAGAGTGTAAGAGAGGAGGAGGGTGACAGAGAAAACACCATTGCGCAAGGTTCCCAAAGGATGGTCTGGGCAGAAGACGTGTCCTATTGACGGGAGGACGGATTTCCAGAGATGCCATAATTGGTAACGCAAATAAACATGTTTAGACAGGAGCCTACTGACAACCGGTAATTTTTCAATATGACCATACGGGTATTAAGGGAAGAAGTGCGGGAAGGTTAGGTGTCACAGTTGGAGGCTCGGTGTGTGGAATAGGATCTTAATTGGATTACAATTTTTAGGAGTCATTTGCCAATTAGAATTGGATTCCAAGGTGTGGGAAATTAGAGACAAAAAAATTGATAAGAAGGAGTTGAGAAACCAGTAATCCTTTCCCTTTTTTTTGTTGCTCCGCTCCTCATTTGTTTTGACACTAACTGTTATCTTAATTTAGATGAACAGTTTCTCATTGTGTTTCTGACCTGCCAACGTCGACTGATTTTCCCTATAGGAAACTTCCTTCCCGGGGGAAACAAAGGGAATGCAAAGAAGACACCACACCAATCATAATTTATAAAAATGATATGGAATTCAGGTAACTAATCATTTATCGTTTAGCAGAATTTTTTAGTGAATGTTCCAAATACCAAAAAGTTGTTGGCAACAACTTTTGAATAAAAAAAACTCTTCCTCTATATCTGAGGCAGTAGATATCCCAACCCAAAGGCGCAGAAATTGGAAGGAACTTTTCTTTAATCCCGCCAACCGTACCTTATACCCTATTCAAGGCGGTAAATATGACTTTTATGAATACCAAAACAAACTACGATTCTGGAAAGGGCAATCGGATTGATGGCATCTGTCTAGTGGGTACCCAACAAAGAACAATCGAATCCATGCTACGCTGAACTCTTTGTCAAATCCGTAAAAAAACTACTTTCTTCCGCTTTCAAGCCTATTGTTTACCGTATCTCTAACACTAAATCTAATAATATCTTCTAATTACCGTACCCATGTCAAATGGTCTCTTATACCGAACCCTTTCTGACGCAATCCTCACCAAAACAGTAACTACTATATCTCGTGACGCTATTCAAGCTATTGCGTGAAATGCGACAAATTGGTGGAACATCTTCGTTGACGCAATTTTAGTACCCCTACTCTCGACTGACTCCGTGTTGCGTGAGTGAGTATGGTATGAATGTACAAACTAGAGGAGGGAGAAGGACGTTCCGGGGGAAAGGAGGGATGCGACTAAATGGGGGAAATAATAATAATAACCCACAGGAGCTCTACTTTCAAGGACTTTAATTGAAAAATGACGATGGAAAAAAATAAGATGGGGGAAAGATGCAGAAATGCATCTGAAATAAACTCTATATAGATATCCACAATTATGGAAAATGATGAAAACGTCATTGGACAGCTAGTCGGAACATGGACGACTTCTAAGAAGGAAATTATAGAGACGATTGGATAATAATCACCTAGTTTCTGGCAACGACCGGAAAGAAGAAGTTAATCGTATCGTTTAAACGAGAAATAGGAGAACGGACGACTTGAATTCATGAGAAATGTGTGAACAAACATCTGAAGTTTGGCGATGGCGATTTTCAAGTGGACACATCAAGTCAATGGTACCGACAAATAAACTGTTTGAATGTTTGCAATATTAATTTTTAAGGGGAACACAAATGGTGTCATTCGATGGAGCGAGGGTGTGTGTTTGCAGATTCAATTAGGTAAACAGGGACCATAATAGGATAAGTGTGCCCTTTGACCCGGCATGGATTTTTGAGAGGGGTTCTAGAAATGACGTGGGATAAAGGATTGGAGCTAGTTTGAATCGTGATTTTTTTGTTTGATCTTTTTGATAATGTAATTGATGTAATTCCAAAATCTCAGCGAAAAATTTGTTTTGTTCTATTTGAAGAGTCCTGCACTTTCTGGGGAGTCCCATTTCCTATAATATATCGTCCATCTACCTCTCCTCATAGTGATGAGCCATAACGACTTATTCGGTGTCTATTCTAACGTACAACAGAGTGTGTTTGCTATGATGGTGGGACCCATTGGAAAGGCAAAAGAAATATCATAAGAAAATGGAGAAGATAAATTGATTGTGGAAAAATGAAAAATGGAAATAGCAATGTTTTGGTATTGAGGAGAAACTGGGGAAAAAGAACACAATGCAAAGAGAGCAACCAACATAATAAAACATAAGAATAGAAAAAGACAATATGAACCAAAGGATAGAAGAGGAGAAAATAGAAAATGACAATTGAAACGGTATTAGAATAGAAGAGAGACGAAATTGAGAAAAAACCTGGTCAGAACATATTTGTTGATTTTCTCATTATTATCTTAATTTTGCCTGAACGGTTGTTGGTGAGATGAGAACGAAAATTAGATCCAGCTTATTGACCACAATCACAATCATATTTATTCTCAATCCATTAAAACAAATTCTTGTAAAAATGATCCTTATTGGGCGCAGTATCCAGAATACATATAGTTCTTAAGGTATATTGGTTATAAAGGTTCATGTGATTTTATGATCTGTTTGGAAGGACGAAAATCAGACCATTTCGTTTTTACACAAAATTAACATTACGAATTTCTACACTCAAAATAGGAAATTCAGGCTCAAAGTCTGAATGTTCGGGATTTCGGTTCAAAAAAAGGTTTGACTGGGCTGAAAAGTGCAAAAAGCAGGAAGAACTTAAAAGAGTCATAATTCTTTGACAACATTTTTAGTCAATAATTTTTGAAGTAATGGAAATAACTTTAAAAGGAGGAATTGATTAGAACAATTAGGGACCAAGAAAGTATAGAAGGAAATGGGTTGCTTGAAAAGCTTGGAGACAAGGTTGGCCGGTTAGAGCTGGAACAATCAGCTTGCAAACTAGTCATGTACTTTTCCAGTAGTCAAACATAGAATTTTTCATGAGAAAACAATTGAACATGTCAATTTTGTGTGAACACATGACATGGCGCCAATCAGGAGCGGAAGGAAAATGATAAAAGAAACCAAGCGGTAACTTCTAAAGAGTTTTTTGCTCAAACATTTGCTTTCTAATTTTAAGGATGGACATTTTGACTAGCGTCCTCGGCCTACGGCCGACTCCGCTAAGCGCGGCTGTGACGCGCAATTAGTTGGAATCAGATGCAGGGCCTTCAGCCCTGGCTCAGTCAAATCAGTTGATACAAGGTTTAGTCTGTTCTCCCTTTGCTCGCTCCGCTCGCTCAGGTCGAACAGACCGGACAGGGCCTTCGGCCCTGTAACATGTGCCCCAAAACAATTCGTTAATTTTTCACTCAAAACCTATTAACTCTTTTATTTTTCAAACAAATCCAGTTTTCTTTTTTTTAATTGTAGCTATCAAAATTACGCATCGAATGGGAAAGCCGGATTTTTGATTTAGGCCCTAGTTCGGCAGAAAAAACAGGAAAACCCGAAAAAAAATGGTATCCACTTGTACGTTCGCTATCATATCTCGGTTCAAACAGTACAACTTTTGACGATTTTTAGTGGCCGCGTAGCCAGAAAGATTTGCAAAAAAGATTTAGCCAAAACGAACTGAAATGAACCTAGTTAGGAGGTTTCAAAGAAAATTTCAACAAAATGTCAAAAATGGGGGTGCGCGATCGCTACGGTATTTAAGGGAAGAAGGGGGCGGAAAAGTGTTAAGCGTAAAAACAGAGAAAATGGCGGAAAAAGATGATAGAAGTTTAAAGAAAGTGTCAATGAACTATCAATAACTAATGAGACAAAATGAAAACTCCTGATGCCGTGAAAAAAACTGTCAGTAGTCCATCTGGAAGATATAGTTTACGTGCCATGGTCTAAAGCCTACGTCGCGGGTCGGATCACTCTGGTCTAACCCTGTGGTAACCCGGCCTGCCTCGCCCATCCGGGTTTCAAACCAACATTTTGAGACATTTTTTGAGATAAAATTGGATTTTCGTAATTTCTGTTAAATGAGAATTGGGCTCTACTAAGCTGAATGTCGTGGGGCTCCGAAACTTAAAAATGATCAAATTAACAAAATCCGAAAATTTTTTTTTTGCCCGGATCGAGCCGGAACTCAGCAAGTATCGGTGACAGTTGATAGTTGATTTCAGGCCCGGCAAATGTTTTCATTTTGTCTGACTATTTTTTTTGACGAGAACGAGCAAATTCGGAGTGTTTAGGAGCTACTACAAAGCTCAAAAAACGCTCACCTTCCCCACAGCATCTCATCAGTCGTCGCTTCCGAAGGCGTGGTCGAGACTGTTGTGTCCTGATAGCTGCCTGACTCCGAATCCGAGAAATCATCTTCCGAGATCGACGACACTGAAAAAGGCGAGATTACGTAACCATCTGGTTTCGGGATGTTGACTTACGAGATGATTGATCGTCATCGTCGAACTCCTCGTCTGAAGACTTATCGATGTCAAACTGCTGAACACCAGCCGTCTTGTACTTGTGTAGATTGAGTTGGATACGTTGATTTTGGTTATTCATCTGGAATTTGGGAATGGTTTAACTCCAACTAGGGAAAGAAAAGAAGGAAAAGAAGGAAGGGGCGATAAGGTAAATGAGGAACAGAAAGGGTAATTGTGTAAAAAGAACCTGCCATGTTTGGTTAGGACCAATAGAGAAAGAATGAAAGGCATGACTAGATGTTAGCTTTTTGAGTGGTCTTTTGATGAACTAGCCGACAATTGAAACTAAATTTCGTTTATTGCTAGTTGGGTTCCCGTTAGCTTACCCCAAATGAAATATCAGGCAATTTCCGGGATGAGCCTTCACTTCCGCTACCGGAATCACTGCCAAGTGACCCGTAACATTTCACGAAGTGGCGATAGAAACAAGAGGGTGGCCGATGGTGTTAGTTGGTCTAGTTCACAAAATTTATGATGCGGACAACACCGTCACTGTCGGTAAACCCTTACCACCTTGCGTTTGCTACTGGGTAATTTACTAGATGCTAGACTTAACTAGACTTCTGGGGGCGAATTTCGACAAAAATATGGAACAGAAGAGTCTAGAAAAACGTCCCATAGATATTTTTCTTGGCGAATCGCACTCATTTGTCACATGGTGTGAGCGACCGAAAACGCGAAAAAAATTAAATTTATTACTGGCTTCAGCATGTGTTTCAAATCTGAAGGCTCACTAGATTTATCGAATGATGGTTCGGTTCAGGCAAATACCTCTGATCTTTTTTCTTATCGGAACCTTGATAAGGTAATCCTTAGAACCGATTTAGCGCATTTTTTAACCCGGTAGCCTTCCGAAGCGTGACTAATAATGCGAAACTCTCGATTACAAGTTTTACTTTTTTGGCCACCTATGACGCGCACCGCTACCATCTTGAATGCGTTTTGAAGTCGATAAACCGTGAATGAATCGCCGTTCATCAGTCACTGTTGATTCGGAGACCCGAAACACAAGTTAAATTCAACATATGTACCATTACCTTGCAAGTAAACTTGATAGCGCCACGAAAAACCGGTAGAAACCTTGAAAAACTAAGACGAAAGGCAATGGAAAGAAGAGATAAACGCAGCCGAAATTTGAATGATGAACACTCCCGCCGAAGAAGAGGCAATGCGCAAAACGAGGAGACGCAGACGTTATGTGTGTTCGGGGTCGTCCTCCGCACGGCCAATTGTGTGTTGAGCGGTCCAAGGGCCTGTATAGACTGTCTGTGTGCGAGTGAGTGTGTGTTGTGAGTGTGTTGTGAGCGTTTTGTCCGCGCGCTCACTTCATCGCCACCTGCTTGCGTGACCCACGATGCAGATTTATGGCCTTGCCATCTAGTAAACGCGATTCAGACAACAGTGCAACTTTCTAATGTGGCTTTGGCAGAAACTAACAGACAGTGAAGGAAGTTAGTTAAAGGAAGGAGTATAATGAAAAATGAATAACGATTTTGAAAACGGAAGGATCAGCAAAATAGTAAAGGAAAGAGCGTACGATTTCAGAATAGGGTCAATGTGGCGAGAAGAGCGGGGTCCTTGAGCTATGCCACTGAAAATTACTATTCGGAACATTCAGAGAGTACAACAAACATCCCATGAAAAAAGTATTCAGCAACACTCATCGAGCTCATCGGGTCAGTAAAATTGATGAAACCATTCGAAATTGGAGTCTTCTCATGAAGATGCGTCTGTGTGGCTAGAAGATTTCACAAAACACACTGAGAAAAAAATGTGTTCATTAATGCCACAATGAGCCCTAATTTTGTGTTTTTCGGGCCAACCCTATGCGTGCAGTTTGAAGTCGACTATCTCGGTTTCTGAGTAAGATATCAAAATTTGTCAACTAATTACTTGTTTACCATATTAACATCAACATTTTTTCTGTTGACAAAATTATGATATCTCTCACAGGAACCGAGATAATTGAGCTCAAAAGCACGTATAGGGATGGGTGTCTTACTCTTACATTTACGGTGAAATCTTCTTGGTAAACCCAGTAGTTCTCACTTTATTGAGACTATTTAACACGAAAAAATTATCGAGAAACAACATTTCACTGTTTTGAGTCTTTCTCATGTTTTAAGCTTTTCTGAACCATGTTGTTCAAAGGAAACAAAATGTCTTTTTTTAATTCAAAATGAGATTTCACCTGGTTTTCAAATATTTTCCCTATTGATTTTTTGGTTTATCCTCTATTTTTTACAAATTTTGAGTGACAAAATCATTGTCATGGTTTCCATTGACACTGAAAACTTGTAATCTGAAAGAAGCAAGCTTAAAAACTCAAATTCATGAGCCGGGCAACCGATATATCATTTACCGAGAATTCGAAAGAACTTCATTTGTGGAGCTTTGTCCGAAACCAATCAACCAATTATTAGAAGTCAGAAAAACAGTTCAGGGCAACCATTCTAAGGTGGTGAGCAAAACGGCGGGAAGAATTGAAAAATTAGGGAAGAGGTGGATATAAACGGGTGAGTGTGTATTCATAGTCATCAGGATCTTGGAACCTAGTGAAACGATATGAACAATTGCCAACAGACTTGGGGAAAAATAAAATAAGGAAAAAAATGAAAGAATGGAATATTGTAATTGTACCGAGTTGTTTTTACGATGTCAATGGGTCAGTGGGAAGGGGCAAAGAAAGTAAGAAAAACGGTATTTGATGAGCAATGCGTCGGTAGAAATTACTCATTGAGCGCTCTGTTGAGGGCCTCCTGAATGTGGACGAATGCGTCACGTCCCAAGTAGTCTGGCTGTCCGGCCTCCCAAGCAGCGCGGCGTTCCTCTGTGGATGGAGTTGGAGCCTGAAAAAGATTATGATATTTGACGATAGGAATTATTTTCCAATTTTTTGGGAACGCCCGACAGATAAAAATCAATAACAGAAGAATGTTCGTTTGTTGGTTTTTAGTTTGGCTAATTAAGCATGGGTTTCAGCTTCTCAACACCTACAAATCTAGTCCGATATGTTTTAAGTAATCTCTACTTACTGATGCACCTAATTTCTAGAATTTTTCATAGTCAAACCTTTTTTTCCGGTAAAAATTAAAAAAATACGAATTTTGAAGCAAAAACTCGACTTTTCGAAGCATACCCTCGACTTCCTAGCATGCGCCATATACAGTTTTACCCCGAGAGTAATACTAGAAAAACTTTGAAACAGTTCAGCAAGTGTTACTCTCGAAAATATTATTTTTAACTTATTTCGTAATACTTTCGACCAAATTGATTTTTCAATGTTTTTCTTCTTTTTTTATCGAGAAAAAGCAATCCAAAAGAAATTCAGAACAAAACTTGCAAAATCAAACCCTCGTGCTATGAAAAATTCAAGAATATAGAAAATACCAAACTGTTATTACCTTGTGCTCCTCGCGTCTCTCGACTGGCACAAACGCCGGGCATGGAGTATTGTTAGTCTGAAAGAAACAATTCACTTCAAATCAAGTTAGTTTTCAATTAAAAAATCTCCGTTGAAATATTCTCACAAAAAAAGCATTCACAGGTCAACTCACATAATGCTCCACTTCCCGATCCACGTCAGGATCGACTGTGTATTCATGCATTTGGCTATTAAAGCAATCCGTACTACCAACTATATCCTGAGATTCTTCATGCGGTTGGTTATGTTGATGAGCAGCTGATACATGCTGTGGTTGCTCTTCATGATGATGATGGGATGGCTCATTGTTGCTCTTTTGCTCACTACTCTGAGCATCATTATCAAACGAGGGGAACATGTTAACCGATTGGACGACATGCATTACAAAATTCCCAATATCCTTCACAATCGAGTTCTTCCTCTCCATTTTAGGTTGCTCATCTGTATGAACTCGTTCCACAACATGATGATGAGATGGGAATACTGTAGCATGCTCATTTGTCCTTGACTGGAAGAGTTTGATAGGAAAAAAACAAACATCACACATTAATAACAACATGCTCATACATAAACCATAACAACTTCATGCTGAATTTAAACAAACCGTGTGGGTAACATGGGCGTGGTAGATGTTCTGCCAGTGCTTGAAGTGCTCTCCGGTGTGAACAGCGGCGGATCCGTGCCATGGCTTGACGCTTCCGATGAAGTGAACGATCTTGGTGTTGGCTCCGTATCTGAAAAATAATTGTTTTGTGAAATCGATCCTTTGAATTCTTAGAAATCAACGATTAGTAGGATTTACCTCTTGTAAGCGGCGGCATATGTGTAAAAGGCTCCGGCGGTCATGTTATAGATGAATGGAAGTCTGTGCTCAGCTGGGAGTGTGCTCCAGTTGCTGAAAAAGTCGTTGAGCAATCCCTGGTCTCCTCCATCGTAAGATCCGTGTGTCACGGCAAAGTCGACGAGTTGTCCTGAAAAATATAAATTTCCAAGAGGTTCATATTGAGGGAATTTTGAGTAGAGTTGGGGCATTCATTGGGCGAATCGCCCAGGTGATCTAAGTCTGGCGACGCCCTCATTATTTCCAGGAAGCTTGCGGCGAAAGCAGAGCGTGACGTGTACATGACTTGGGCGAGACTACGACATTATTTGAGAAAGTTGCCTAGGTTTTGGGTGCTTGCAAACCAAATGGGCACTCTTGCCTCAGCGGCGGGATCAAAGCAGCTCATTTTCGCGGCTAAATTGCCTTAAATTCCCTGACACGGTCAAGAATCATAACAACCGCACTGCACATAATTCGGAGGGTACAACAATTCGGGGGTACAAGAGGGTACAACGTGATTTAGGGGTACAAAATTCACAATTTGGGGGTACAAAACTATGCTTTTTCAGGTATTTTGTACTCTTGAATTGAGGATTTTGTACGCCTAAATTGCTTTGTACCCCAATGACCCCAAAAATTTTGTACCCACCGAATTATTTGCCCAACCGCACAGCAGTTGCAGATTAGGGACCAAAAGCTTTGAAATACGCAAACTATGAAGTTCAAAAAGCCTAAATCCATCCTTAAAACTTTCAAATCCTTCCCCAACTCACTGTAGGTCTCGTGATTTGGAACAAAGACGAACACTCCGCTGTTGAAGGAATCTGGCCATCCGATATCGGCAGCGGCGGAGAATTCTGGGCGAGTGAAGAGCTCATCAGCATTGCGAATCACCAAGGTATCGGCATCCAAGAAAACGCATTTGGTGTACTGGGTGAGTCTCCAGCAGTGAAGCTTGGTGAAGGTGACACCGAGATCTGGCCGCTCGATCAACTTCAAGTTGTCTGAGTCGTTGCTGTTGAAGACGTCAACGATGGAAACGTCATCGAAGTGTTCCTCGAGCTGCTTACGGACTGGAGCGGACACCTGGGATTTTGAGATAAACGATGGTGAACATCTAAAAATCTGCAAACTGACCTGGTTACTGATAAGGCAGTGGATTTTGCGAGTGGTTCCAGCGGTTCTGAGCGAGTGGACGAGAACGAGAGCTCCTTGAGCGTAACTGTCGTTGGTGGCAAGAGTGATCCAGGCCTCAGACATATTCTGGAAAACGCATTTATATATTTGCGCGATGATTTTTGATCAGACGGGTATTATAAGAAAAGAGTAGGAGCAAAAATGAAAGAAGAAAACTTTGACAAGAAATGATGATATATTTACTCGGCCGAACGTGTCCGCGTTTCGGGGTTTGAAATACGACCGACGAGAAGGCAGCTGAACGAAAAAATGAGGAGCGAATGCCAGGGCGGATGTGGATGCATATGAATGAGAGAGAAGGAGGAATAGAGATATAGAGATATGCAAAACGTTCGGAAGTGTTTTTGAAACAGTAACATGAGTCACGTGACCAACTAATCTGTGGTCATTGAGAATGTTCTAGAAATTGAAATAGTGACTCATAAAACCTTGCGGAAGGTTCTAGAAGCAAGTGGTCCTGACAGAATGAAATTTCATCCAGGATTGTCATGGAAGAAAATGAAGATACTGAAAGAGATAATAGAAGAAAAGTGGGGGCGCGGGAAGGAAGATGCAAAGAGAGAGAGAGAGAGAAAGTTGTATCTGATCCCGGGGTGCATCCCATTCTCCAAACCAAATTCACAGAAAACAGATAGAAAAAGATATGGTGTCGGAGGCTCGGGAAGTGTGTGGGTTGCAGTGTGTAGAGAGAAGGCGAAACTAGTGAAACGACCACTCTTTTCTCCTCGATAACAGGCTGTTTTACGGACAGCTGTCCTTCTTGCTACTCTCTTTTTTCACTTTTTTCTGGGACTCCATAGAACGCGCTCCAAAGGATATGGCTGATTTTGCAATGTGGCTATTTCGGAGAGAGTAGAGATCAAGTGGACTTTTTTCTTTTTTTTTTGCCTTATCTGCCACTACTGACCACCGCAAACAGAAAGGGAAAATGTGAGAAAACTGATAAAGGCATGAAGAAGAAAGGACACATAAAAAATTGAAAGAGAGAGAGAGTGAACCTCCTTTTTTTATAATAAAAATCGGAGAATGGCAAAAAAGACTAGAGGGTACTAGAACCTTCGAGAACCATTTTTTCGTCCCATCAATTCAATTTTACGATGTCCTCCCTCCTATCACAAACTTTGAAATGGAAGGAAAAAGGTAATAGGAAGCAGGGAATGATCATCAGGTGTCTCAGTATGTACTATGTTGCTTCATCTCCTTCTTCACTCTACTTTTTTGTATCAACACATCACATGAAACGAAACGAAATGCGTCCCTCTGCTGCACCTCAGGAGTTGCCGCTGTTTGCTCACCGAAAATAATATAGAAGAAGAAGAAGACAAAAAAAGTGGGACATCCTAAATCACAAGTGAAAACCAGGTTTCTGGTGATTTCAACAAAAATAAACTGGGTACTCTTTGCAAAGAAATTTTGAAATTGGGACAAGAACCCGATGACATTGATTTTGATTGACGAGTTTGTTAGGATATATGTGATTAGGGAGGCTTCTGTACTTAGAACAGGAAAAATCAAAGAAAAAAAGTTTAGAAAAAGCCAGAAAAAGAGAAAAAGAGATACAATCGAGGGAAAGGGGACTCAAATTTCAAAAAGCGAGTAGAAATCCCTTCTTGGTTACGTTTTAGGAGAATTGTCATGATGTGATAAATAGTTCGAAAAACAAATGACGTCATTACCATGCACTATTGTCTATATATTGTATGTTTTTTGACCGAAATAAACAACGAAAAAAACTCCATTCATTTGACAACTTGAAATATGATATCAGTGTGAGACTGGGAAATTAGGGGAACCCCGTGATGGTCATAAAATGGCCACCTGATGAAATGATCATAAAATTTCTCTACCTTAAAGCTAGAATCAATTTTCAACCGGTTTTTTATTGCAGAGTTTAGTTTAACAGACGATTAACGGTTAGTCACAGATTAGCAAATTAGATGAAAAAAACGTTTTAATGGCTTAAAAGATTTATGAAGATTTTGAGGCCAAACAACCACTGAAATAAAAATCCAAATGTTTTTCAAACGTTTTGCTCCTGGCAACGTAAACGCATTTTGGAAAAAAAAAACCAATAGAAAACGAAATGTTTATTTTCTTGCCCAAAAAGAAGACAAGAAAAAAGAGATGTCTAGAGTGCACCCTACTGAATAATCCCGTTTTTCTTCCCTCCGTGGAGCAAGCACAGCTCCCTATGCACATCTGCGAAGTATGAAAAAAAAATTGAGGGCGCCTCTCCCCGAAAGAAGAGAATACGAGAAGACGTGGAGAGAGCAAGAAAAAAAAGAATGGAGGAATCAAGTGTGATGGAATACGTGCAATGTGGCACATTCATCTTGTTCGCTTTTTCTGGGTACTCGTCTCAATTATTACTTTTGTACTAAAAACATTGAAAAATGAAGAGAAATTGATGTTTATTGAACATGTAAAGCTTGGCATATACTCGAACATGTGCAAGGAATATATTCGAATATGAAAAATGGCCTAGGAACCCAAGAGTCGTGTACTCCTCGTGGACTAGTCCAGCAAATGTTAAAAGGATTTTGAGCTAGAAGAATAATTGTTCGCGAAGTTTACTCACAAGCTCATCAAAATGTGGAGGAAAATATTTTAAATTAGTAAAAAGGTGGATAATTATTATTCTTGTCCGGTTGCGATGAGTTTTGCCGCGGAAAATTCATTGAAAAGCGCATTTCGAGCAGAACAAAATGTTAAAAAATGAAATAACTTTGTGATTGAAGTAGCATGCATTCATTTAAAAAAACTTTTATAAGTTACACGATTTGCTTTAAATTAAATTTTCGGCAGAAACGTTCATTGCCGCCGAACAAAAAGAAAAAATCTCGAAAAACTAAAAAAAAGTCAGAAATGAGCAACTTATTAGACCACAAACCTTATTAGACCTACCAACTTATTAGACCACAAACCGGAATACGTCCAATTTCAAAAAATCTTTCAAGGAATCGGTTTTGAAATTTAAAACAAATTGAACTTAGAATACGAAAGTGAAAATGAAAGTTTTTACAATTCCAAAAACGCCAATTTTAAATTGTGAAGCAAATAACTTAGAGGCAATACATCTCCACATCCATTTGAACAGTGAAATGTGACCAGTAAAGTATAATTAACATTCTTAGACTTCACTATATATTTAAGAGACCACTAAACCCTAGAAAACCCCCATGCAACCTTGCGTTACACTCTGAGTAATTGATTAATCAGAATGGACAAGAAAAGTGTAATCAATTGTCCATTTTGCAACTTTGTTTGTTTCGCAGAAGTCAATAAACAGTTTCACTTGCCAAATTTTTCTTCTCAGTCTCAAGTTAATTATCCTTTTGTGTGCCGCTTTTTTTTTCTCCGCCTCGTTATCGCAACTTTCACATTTGGGGTTTTTTGTTGATAAAAAAGAAACATTTGCGTTTTATAAGTTCTATTTGAATCGCAGTGAGAATAAGAAGAAAATGGGGAGTAAGAGTTGAAGAAAAAAAAAGAAGAAAAAACACTTTGAGAGAAGTGGAACGCGCACAAAACAAAACCGAGAGTTCCAAGAAGCCGCCATAAGGATGGTAGAGAAAAGATGGCGGCTCGGAGCCCAGTTGGAAAAAAAGGGCACATGAATTGATAAGAGAATCTTGCAGGAAATGAACTGATTGACACAAGAAGTGCACCAGAATGGGAGATAATTATTTTATTTGTAAACAAGTTGAAGTTGAAATTTTTGTCATAAACTCTAGTGAAAGAATATTACACCAATAATTAGAGAATAGACAAAATTACAGCGTAAACATTCATGAAAATTTAAAAACATTGGCATTCAAAAAACTAGTGAAAAATACCGTAACAGAAGTCAACTTTCAACTTCGCGCTCATTTATCTCGATTACTGTAAAGATATCGAAAAATTGTCAACTAGTAATTTTTATCGTAATACGACCAATATTTCATCAGTTGACAAGTTTTTGACATATTTCCCAAGGATCGAGATAATTTAGTTTGAAAAAGTTCGATTTTGCGATTCAGTTAAAGTAAATACGATGGACTTCTGAAATTTCGTCACGTGAGTTTCAACAAAATATTTCATGACAAAAACTGCTGTAGGATATAATTTCTGACAACATAAGTATTTGAGAAAGCCTATTTTTCAATTTGGTGAATTTTGCAGAAAAATTTTTAATATACATAAAAACAATCGAAAGTTACAAACCTCGGAAAATCTCTTCACATCCAAAAAAATTATCAAATGCTGTGTATTTCTTGAAACTTTCACAAAATCCATCATAGTCTAATTATTTTTGAACTACCGCCAAAACATAATTGTCTAGGCCACATTTATGAAAACAACTGGATATTTGAAACAATGAGATTTCACTTCTTGACAAAAAATCAAAATAACTCGAGAAAGAACATTTTTGTGATTTTTTGCCACTTGAAGCAATTTCACAAAATATTGTTAAAACGCAGGCAGAAAGAAAATTGATTCAAATACTTTGCCGTGCTCTAATTTTGTGAACCTGGAAAAACTAAAACTTACAAAATTTCTGAAAAACTGATTGCCATCTCATAATATTTACTAGATATTCTACTTGACGTTATTTTAGTTATATTTTAAAACTTTGAGAAATTTGATATTTTTGATTAAACACCATTACCTTATGATTTTCCCTCTTTCCCTCAAAAATTGTTTTTGTTGATTTACAGAAACCTTTTTGAATAAATGTTCAATCATCACGACGTCCCCACTGTCCAACTTCTGATCAAATTCTATTCCTATCCTTCAACTATCAGTCACCCTATTCTCGACTTCAAGATTCCTTTATTCGGAAAAAGGTCAACAAATAAAAAGCTTGCCTGGTGGGGAACACGCAACAACAGAAGAGGAGAAAAATCAGATTTGATACACACGTGAGTAAACAAAGTGGAAGATGTATCCACAAAACGTCAAAAAATGTGTCCAGCCTTTTTTGTGCTCTTCGTTTTCCATGTTCGTAGCCTGCGCAAACAGTGGTTCTATAAAAATGGCGCGATGGCAAGTTGGAATGGCATTCTAACGACCACCATGACTCGAACCCTTCCTTCCGTTCTTTTCTTCGCTCTTATCATCAAAGCATGTAAGTTTCCAAGAACAGTATCAACTAGAAAAATCCCCTCTGTTCCCAGACTCCGACTGCTATTTTGCTTTCCTTCAAGCTTCCGGTCCATGTTCCTCTGATTCTGACTGTGGTGGATCCCCGTGTGTGATGGATGTAAAGTCTGGAAGCCATGTGTGCTGCAAGCCAAAACCAGGAACTACAGCTCCACGTGGGTTGTTTGTTCATCAAAAAAGGAAATGTTCCATTGTTACAGAATGCCCCGGTGGTATGACGTACACTGGAATCCCTGTTCTTTGTGACCCAGCTGATGGAGATGATGGTTGTCCAGCTGGATACACTTGCAGCGCTAGTTCAAGTGATTTCACAAAAGTGAGTGAGAAAAGGAAAACAATGAAAGTGAACGTAGAACAACAGCTAGAACACAGCATGCAGTTCAAAGAAGTTTTCTCGAACTTGCCGTGAAACCTGTAATATAAAGGCCCCAAACTGTTAAGTTTGAGCTTATATTTCAGCTAGCGCAAGATATCACAAATCTGTCAACTGATAAAACGTTTTTGATATTTTGATAAAAAATGAATCAAGCGACAACATGGTATATCTTTAATTGTCTCAAAGTTAAAAGTTAGGGACCCTCCTAATACATGTTTACGGTAACAGGGCATCTTATTGAGATTGAAAAACCTCTAGCGAAATCTCTAATCGTCAACTTTGACCAAATTTATCTCGGTCCCTGTAAGACATGTCTAAAATCGTTTATCAGTAAATCGTGAAGAACGTTTTGACAATTGAATACTTTGTGATATTTCACACAAGGAACGAAAAAAAAAGATTCAAGATTGACCCATAATTTTTTCTAAAATCCCCTTCTTTCTGGATGGATGTGTTTTGGCACTGATCCAAATGCTAGGTTGTAAATCTTGCACTCTACTTCCTACAACTTGTTTTCTGCTTGTCTCATTCTGAATTTTGTATAATCTCTTAATTGCAGGATTCTGCTTCTCCAAACTCACTTTGCTGCAAAGCCTAAAAAGTCACATGTTACTCTTTCTTCTCCCTCAAATCTACACCTGTAAATAATCAATTTTGAGATTGTATCATTCAACAAAAAGCAATAAATTAATTCATTCTTACATTAAAGAAATAGACAGTGTTAAATTAATAATAATTTTAGAGAAATGCAACATCGAATACAATTTTAAGTGTTTAATGACTATTGTTCAACGGGAAGGAAAAAAATACCCGGAAGTGTGCAAACGAGAGAAACCATGCGACACGTTCCTATAGAAATTATCAGGATTTTTTGAAATCACAATTTTGTGCCCTCCTCGATGGTGACAGCTGGAAGGATAATGCTTCTAGCCGAGCATTTATGGTGGTCGTACTGAACTTCGAGCACTTCACAGTTAGTTCCATCATATGGTCTCCAAGCCTGGAGCTCTGCTTTTTTCCTGGAAAAACTGATTCTGATTTATTGGGACCTTTTTCAAATTTTGAAGGCACCTCTCCATCTCAAGCCTCTCTGTGGAGTCGAGTGGACTTTCTTCCTCCGGTTGGTATACTGACGGAGCTTCCATTGGTGATTTAATGGGCAATGATGATTTCAAACCATCCAAACTTAAAAAGAAAACATTTCCATAAGTTCAAAAATTGTGTTTTCTACTCACTTGCTGCTGTTCCTATAGTACGTGCTTGCCGACGCGCTTCGAATATCGTCCGGAACTGGAAGTGGTCGGTTCCTGAAGAGATCGAGGATACACATATAATTATAAAACTCCTACACGTGAACAATATTATAGAAACAAACTAGGTGCCTGGGATTTTCTTTCAGATCAACGTAATACCTAATTACTTTGTGGGGAAGAGCCTGTGAGAACCCACGTACACATAATTGCTTTAAACAACTACTACACACTCATTCGATCTTTGAAAAGTGTACTTTTCGTTGAAAGTACTCACAGTTTAGAAACTGACCGTCGACTCCAGAATAGAAGACTTTTGAAAGCAGTGCGAAAGTTTTCAGCTCGATACGCATAGAGAACCGGATTAAGAGCACAGTTGACATAGGGGAACAAATGAATGATATTTACAATGATTCTCATCAATAGAGTTGTTATCCGAACACGGAAAATTGCAGAGAATAAATTGAACAGCCAGAATGGAGACCTAAAAATTAACTTCATATTGAAATTCTAAAATTTGAGATCCATACCAGCAAAGGAGGTGGAAAAGAACAACCCGTTGTACACTTCGAGTAACTCTTTGGTAAGAAGACCTAGATCTTTTATTGCGATGAAGTCTTCGCGATCCTTTTGCTGCTTCTCGCAATTTACAAAAGACATGGTAGTAACAGTAGAAGATAACTAGTCCAGGAAGGATAAAGATCATCACCGAGCACACAGAGATGTACCTGAAATCCGATAAATTTGAAGTTCCGTTTCAACTTCCGCCTATCCCTAAATATAGATGCCCCAAAAATAAAACAAAGAAAAAAGAATCAAAAGAATAATATATGCTCCCTTCCCAACGTACCACTGTGCGTGTGGCGGACTTGGCCAATGAGCAATGCACAACGTGTGATTGGTTTCAATGGCATTCATGCCATTCTTTGGTCTCATTCGGACTATGGCCTGGAATATGAACCTTTATTTTAAATTGTTTGCTTTCATCTAATATACCTCCTCCGCGTAGATATAAAGAGGAAGACTACAGATAACTGCTGCGATCCACGCAAGCCCGCTCAAAAAGATGGCAGTGAGATAAGTTCTAAACGAAAAATTGAGAAAAATCCAATTAACTCTTAGTGCACTAACCTATATCTTCCACACAATTCACTTTTACACATCGCGATGTATCGATCAGCGGCGAGAAGAACGACAAAAAGGACAGATGCGTATTTTCCTGAAAATGAGATTTTTATAGGCGTTATCTCTCTTGAAAATTTTCAATTACCCGTTGCCTCTGTGCCATGGAAAATATGACAAATTACTAGTCCGAATGGCCAGCTATTGCCGTTCAATGACGTGGCGGCTACCAGAATCAAATCGGTTAGATAAATAAAGTCGGCAAGACATAATCCTATCATGTATACATTGGTGATGGATCGTAGGTATCTGAAAAAAGTGCATGGGATTTTTGGTTTGCATTATGAAAGCAAGGGGATTAAAATATTGAAAATATGATGAATGGAAACTCACGGTCTTTTAATGATTAGATAAATGACTATCAGGTTGACAGATCCCAAAGCAACGAGCAGAAGGTGCGTGACCGTCAACGCAAGACGTAAGTGCTTCGAAGAGTCGCTCATCGCATGCTGAAAAAAAAACAAATTGAGGAAATTCGTCATAATTTGTTTCTTTATGCAACAACTTGCTAGAAAAATAAGGGATAGAAATGGGTCAATTGTAGAGACTTGCAACTGCACACACGTGCCTGTATTTGGCAGTTTTCGTGCGTAATCGTATTTTTGGAGAATTAATTTTACGAAGAAGAATTTCAATAAAACGAATTGCTTTCCGAGAATTTTCAGTTATTTCGTGTTTTTGGAACCAGTTCTTGGAATATAAAAATAAGGATGCTGCGCAATTGGAAAATAAAACAAGGATCAGAATTTGGCCACAAGGTCGAAACAAATGAGAAAACAGATTGAGGATATATGCTAGGAAGGACTAGGGGCAATTAGAAAGAAGCGACTCCTCTCACATGTTTTGCTCCTCACAAAATAAAATAAACTTAAAAATCTGAATGTATCACCTACCTACATAATTCGAAAAAAGTTTTTTCTGACAAAAAAAACACATCATGAAAAAGTAAAAACGTGTGCCTGATATGAGATGAGATGAGTAAATGTACATTTGAGTTTGAAAATCACGTAAATTTTTGTAAGGATTATTTAGGATTAATTGCAGACTTCCTAGTAGAGAGGGAATACCATGTAGCCAGAATTGAAAAACATCGAAACAACGATCAAAAAAACAGAAAAAGCAGAGATAGTCAGATAGAATATGAGAAGAAGGTTCGCAAACAACCTAAATGACAGAAAAGTGAGATAGCTGTTGAATATTGCGCCTCGTCACTTTTTTCTTTGATATCGTGAGAAAAAGAAATGGATTGCTCCAACTCATAAGATTCTGGTTTCCTCTATTCAGAATCCACAGACCTTCAGAATGAGTCATTTATGGGTCAGAACCGCTGGAGGAATTTCAATTTTAAAGGATCCAATGTGCTTTTTTTCTGCTTTCGCATCTCTTTGTTTGCATATACCGCAACTCTTTGGTGGTACCGGAGAGAAACCCAAAATATTGGAAATGGTGAAAATCGTCAAGCGACCAAAACTCTCTTTTCTGAATCCACAAACACCGAGAAAAGGAGTCCTAGAAGGCATCAAAACTGCACATATTTGATAGTGTGACGTGATTTCAGATCATTAGAATGGAAGGAAGAAATGAAGGAAAAGAAAAGAAGAAGAAGAAGATACAAGGAGTCGAAAAAAAGGAGAATTAATCAAATGAAACAATATATGGTAACTCCGGATTGCGCATATCCACACGTATCCACATGTCCTGGTTACCTGTTGTTTGATTTGCTCCCCCAATGAGCAGCAAAATGAGTGTCAGATTTCAAGAGAGGAGGGAAAAACATGCGAAACGGGGGAAAAGGGTGTGCTTGTAACAAAGGATGATATGTATTTTTCCTCTGGACCTTCCAGGCAGAAAAAAAGTGTGTGGCGCGACGGAGGAGCCTTCGTCTTTCTATTTGAGGGTCTTAGTAAAAAAAAGAAAAAAAGAAACGAAAAAAGAAGAGTGAACCAAGAATGAATGGGTTGATCTGCACCTAGATTATTCACACCTTCAATGCACTTGGAACCTCTATTCTTGCCGTATCTTTTTTCGTGTCTCCTAATCTTTGAATGGGGGTTACACACGGAGACACATCATGCACTTTTGGGAAAAGAAAAAGACGCGGAAGGATTTCTCTTTTTTTAGCTAGTGTTCCAGTTTATTCAAAACTCCTCTTGATCCCAAGGGGGTGATCGAAACAAAAATGCCGTTCAGCTTCTACGAGTCTCCATTTCGTTTTTTCGAAAAAAATGTGCAAAATATTGTTGGTTGGTTCTCGGGAAATGATACAAGCGTTTGATAAAAAAGCTTCCAAAAAAAACGACGGAACCTACGGGGAGGGATATTGGACCAACACGAATATATTATTATTTTTCTAGAGTAAAATTGGAAAAAGAAAATATTGGAAGAAGGGTCACCGTGAATCGTAGGGAAAAGAAATCAAAAATTCCGATTATGAATCAATTCCTTCTATGAATCAAGAAATCGTTGAATTTTTGATTGAAAATTGATATATGTAATCTATCAGGACCTGTCAAAATCAAGAGCAAAGGTAGAGGTCAATTTCGTCAAAGACATTTCTTACTTCTTCGGAAAAAAAACATCATAATGACATCAAGGGTAGTGAGATGTGCACAGATCACGTTTTTTGATACACTTATGGTTATGAGAAAAAGGGCATGTTGGAAAAACAATGAGTAAAAAAGTTTTGAGAAACTGGGAGAATTTTCTTGATTTTTTTTTCAAATTTCGAATGAATCCAAGTGATGGAAAGATTTGAAAAAAATATATATATAAATGTTTACGAGAAATTGTCTAAAATATGAAATTTCTTCGACTGAAATTGGCTAGCGGAATCTAATATTTTTAGGGAGTCTAGATAGGCTATTTTTAACTTATCCTGAATTTTTCATAAAAATCTGGGTTCATTGGAAGATTCACTTGATACTCAATTTTGAAATTGGAAGATTACGAGACTGTAACTCTACACATGGGCTCTTGAACGTTTGCTGCTCCTCTATTGGTCAACAATTCAATTACACTCTATTAAAAAAAAAGTTCTCTCGTGGTAATCTCAAGGAACTTTTGTCGATGAATCACTTGATACTCTCATCAATGGACTTTTTGCAGGATACGTGAGAAAAAAAGAAACTTATTTAACTTTCAATGGGAACTTTCTACTTTTTTCCTTCTGTCTCACATTCATTCCTCCTGACTTTTCTAGAAGTTTTCAGGATACGGATCATACTAGAAATTCTGGAGAAGAGAAACAAAATATGAAAAATTACTGGATGAATCAGCGAAACCTTTGGAGTAACGGGAGAATAAGGTAGTATGGTTTTTAACAATGGGAAGAGCACAACGTGTTGTGCTCTGTCTCTTCTGACGCTCATTATTATTTTACTAATGGGATCTTCTCCCTCCTTAATTTTGGCACATCGTCTATGCATGACGTTCCATTCGTTCTCTTTTTTTTTTGAAAAATGATATTTTTCGCCAGAGGTATCTTTATTTGCTGCTACCCACATGGAACGAATAAATGCGAGAAGACAATTTAGCAATTTAGGCAATGCTTGAATAGATCGAAGGATTCGAAAAGCATATCCAAGAAATATGAATCTAGGTTTCAGAAGGAGAAAAAAGAATCCGAGACATATGGAACGTCTTTGAGCTCTACAGCTAATGAATGAAATTTAGTAGAAAGAAGAAGAAAAAAAAATAAGTAAAAAAAGAGGAGAGAAAAATAAATAGATCTATATGCTAGAAATCAGACGCGAGCTTCGCGCAGAAAAAAATTGCTTCTGAGTGAGTCAGACAGGGAAGGCGGAGGAGTACTACTACATAAGGAATCTAAAAGAATAAATTCTGGAATATTAAGAAGCGAGGGATGCAGGGTAGCACAAAAAGTTGAGTTGACAAAGAAAACAAGGAAGATGCGAAATTAGACAGCACCTCCCCTTTTTTCCATTGGTTTCCAATGACGTGTGTCGTTGAAACTTTTACATTTATGAGACATAGTATACGTATCCTCATTTTTTTGCTCTTTCTTCTTTGCACTATTTGTGCAAAGCTAGAAAAAAGTTCTAGGAAATGCAATTGTCACAAGATAAATGTTATAGAAACACTGGAGAGAAAAGGCGAGAGAGTGATTTGATTTTAGAATTTGGTTTTCGCAGGCGCTGGGAATCGTGACACACTAGATATGAGCAGTCAGTGATTCCAAAAAAGACGCAAAAAGCCAAACTCTTCCTGTTTGAAGACGTAAAAGTACACGTCTTCTAGGAATAATTAGAGATCACGCTCATGCATAATTTATGCCGCGAAATGGGATTGACCCAGAGAACCATTGCTTTTATTGCGACTCTTTTTTTCGTCCCAGACAAATCATAAAGGGTCACGTACGTGAGAATCGCAAAAAAAATCAACTGGGGAATCTCTAATTAGTTTGAGCTAGTTGAGGACCTGGAAAATAAGACGGGTTCGAAACTGGGATTGAACTAGAGCACAAGTGTGAAGAACTGTGCTTGCAAGTGGAGAAAAATCTGCTTATGGTTCTCAAGAAGTCTAAAAATTTTTGATGCATTTTTTGAGAACTTTGCTGAGCCAAAGTTCTCCTTATCGGGGGTTTCCACAGACTTCTCAGAGTTTTAAAATGTCTGGCCCTATTTCTGATTAATCCCAGATGTTTGATCCTAGTCTTTTTTGAAACCAAAAACGTTTGAAACCAAATGAAACACCAAAAAAAAGAACGATGTTTCGAAGAAGACGCTATAGTATTGCCTTGTTTTCTGATGCCGCGGAGGTTTTTCTTTATTGCTACTTCTTTCATCTGGAATCAAATGAGCAATCCTCGCGGCTAGCGCATCACACACAAACACACACACAACCATATTCTGGAATGAGGTTGAGCATACATATTTCTTGTTTTTCAGCTCCATGGCTCTAGCAGAGGTTTTCTTTGGGATTCATGAGTGGGGCAAGTGAACATTCATGTCTAGTTTTGGAAAAAGCATAATGGTTCTTTAACCAAAATCATTGCCTCATTCGTTCTGAAAATTCTGAATAGAATTTCGCTTTAAGCGCAAACTTTTACAAAAAGTGACGTCTTCTTTAATTTCTGATTGAAAATTTCAGATTCTCACGAAACTTGTTCAACATCTAGATTTCCACATTAGCTGGGAACATCCACTTTCATCATTTCATCTCTAAATAAATGCAGAAAAAAAGCAGAAACATAATCCTAATCCTTCCGTTCTTGGTTCAAAAAAAAACATTTAAATAGTTACCTTGGAATACGATTCGTTTATCATGTACTCTTCCTTCGAGTAATGAAATAGAGTAGCGAGTGAAAGAATATGAACAACCTTTTGCTCAAACCTCGGATCGTCAAGTTTTGTTTGGCAAAAAGTTCGAGAGACAAGTCAAGACATATGAAATGAGGAAATGCCACGACAGGCTATCTCGTCAA